AAAAGTCCCAAATTTTCTTGTTTTTCCCCCCCCCCCCCCCCCTTTAGAGCATTAAAGGATATCTTACGGACCCAAAACTTCTGAACAGTAGTGTATACAGTCTACTTAAGTCTGAAGTCTATTTTGGTCTGTCCCTCCATCTACCAGTGTTTACTACAATTGCTTTGATTATCAATCGCACATTCACACAGAGTAATTCCAGGATTCACCTTCATCCATGTCATATGAACAAATGTCACTGGGCATTTCATTACAACACGGGAAAAAACCTAGAATGGTGGTGAATATACTAGAGGGAACCAGAGGTTTGTCTTGAATATTACTGCTACAAACAGTCTCTGAAACAGCTGTACCTTTTCCATGTCCTTTCCAAAAACACAGAGCCCAGCTTAAACAAAATAAAAATAAGCTTTTCCATTTTCCTTAAAGAAAAGAAATAAGCCATTTTAGCACTAACATGCATTTATACTCACCACACTATCACCTCTATTTCCGCAAGGCAAACACTTTTTAAGGATCCAACCGAAGTGTCTCAGCACCTGCAATAACATTACAGAAAAAGGTGAATGAAGCAGAATTTGTCAAGCATCTGGACGTGAAAAAAAGAAAAAAAAACATCAGCTGCAATGCACACCCCAATTAAACCCAACTGTCCAAGGTCAATAAAACCATGTTTGTGGACTTTTGCAGCAACTGCTAGTTTAGATGGAAAATGTCATATCTTTCTCCATCTTTCTGCTGGGAGACTCCCATTATTGTTTTTCCATCTCTCCTGGGTAAGGTAACAGCCTGAATAAATGTCTCTATGGACTTTCTTAAAATGTCCAATAAATCTCAATGTCGCCCTGTAATTTTCTTTGGGTTGCCACTTACATTTTTCATGACAAAAACACCAGAATGAATGTCTTGAAAACCATCCACACTGCCTTGTACGTGTGGTATTTGGAAAACCGGTTAAAAGCATAAGTTGACTGACATTACAGTAGCTGGATTTCACTAATGTTTGTGAAACTGTCAGCCTTACTATGTAGCTGAGATATATATTCTTTTAAGATAAGGGCACACCTAAATCTACAAGAGAGACTAAACATGTTCCACCACCGTCAGGTAAGACTGATTGCACGGTTTTGACCTACACTGTGTATTGCTTTAACCTACATACATCATTGGATAGGTTTTCTAATGGGCCAATTAGGAAAAAACATTGTAAATAAATAAATAAAGCTAAAACAATAGAGACCTTATGGAAAAAGTTAGATTTTATTTTATAGTTTTGTATTACCTTAACTAATTAGCACCAAAAGAGGAACACATTCCCAATTTCTGAAAGGAATAACAAAATCTGCCATAACTCAGCTAAACTAAAAGGGTATTTATTGCCTTGTCAAATCATTTCACCTAGAGATGATACAAATTATAAACAGGCACTTCTTAGTTTCATAATCTCATCATCAAGAAAACTTGCTGTCACATAACCAAAACATGGTGTCTGAAATATGGTCCTAAGTTCAAATCTTGCCCACATACCGGCAACTAAATCAAGCCTAAATGTAAAAAAAAAAATAAAATAAAAAAAATAAAATAAAATAAAATAAAATAATCATCCAGGGCCGTTTTCCCAGGTGCAGAATAAGACTAGGTCTGGAAATAATTTCTGCATTCCAGAATCACCATCTTGGGCTCACCCTGTAATTTTTGAAGGGCGCATGTGTTAGTTTCCACAGCCGAGCGATGAAAGGCATGTACTGACATGGCTGTTAAGTTAGAGCTATTGGCGGGTTTCAGTGGTCTCTTGTCTACCAAGGTTAGGCTTGAACAGAGAAGGGTGGAAAGTACTTCCTTCAAGCTGCCCGCTCTCAGTCCATGTCTTGCGGGTCTCTGAGACTTCTTTGTGCTATTGCACCTGCTGCGTCTATCTGTTTCCCAGAGCAGCGTATGTTCCAGTTAGCTCAGATTATTGGCCTGCGCTTGCTAAGCAAAGTAACAGGTGTTGTTACAGTGTCAAGGCAAAGAATGTCTGATCTGAGAGAAAAGGTTTGTTAAAAACCCAACTTGGGAACTGAAATCAGTTGGAAATCAATTAGATTACATTGCCAATTCTTGTGAAAATAAAAATGGGGAAGTGAAAATGTGAAAATGATTGGGGAAGCACGTCCAATCCATTGGAAACATTTGCATAAATCATTCTGAATCACGCAATTGCTTAATTTACACTTCAACCAAAAATTTTATAATGTCTACAGCTTGCTACATTAGGTCCGAACCATTCTCTACCCAAGCTCAATTTACTGTGTCGTTGTGTTACAAAATGTGTCAGACTGCAATTAATAACGCAACTGAAGCACGTTGCCAAAAGAACTATAACAGACATTAGTGTAAATCAACACTAATACTAATTAGAATTGTACAGTGTATCAGTGCTACAGAAGTATCGCATAGGGCTGTCATGATAACCTCAATATTGTAATATCGCAATACTGACAAGACAACCACAGAGTATGACAAGCAACCGCCACAACCGCAATGTTCACTTTTTTTTCTTCATGAGGCTATGCCTTTGTTTTACACTTAATGCATGTGTATTGAATGTTTAATAAATTAATAATTATAACAAGAGTGAAGCTGAAGAGAGTAATATTTTTACACCAACTGGCTTTTTTACAGCATTAAAGAGCAGGTCATATGGGTTTTTGAAAAATATCTCTTTGGTGGTTTATAACGTAGCTAACCTTAAATGAAAACAATCTGCAAAGTTCTTAATCAAAAAAGTGCATGATAAAAGATATTGTCTCTCAAAAGAGAGAGTCGATTCTGAATCGCCTTAACGAGTCGTCATTTTCAAATCTTTTGCCTGTTATCGATATACGTCACTGGGTAACACATTTGCATAATCCCCGCCTGCCCGCGAAATACGAACAGAGTCTAACCTGCCCACAAACACTTCCGCTAGTTAGTGTGTTTACATCATGTTGAGAAGACACTGTGTTCAAGGATACCACAGAAATACAATTCGAACCTTTTGTTGTGTGCATGTCATTTTACCAAGGACTGCTTCTCTAATCTTTTATCTTCGCTGGTTTCTAATCTTCTTAATTTGGGCTAACAAGCTCTACGAACCACAACCTTTAAGAACAACTGATATGGTGTGTGTGTACATTTCAATTGAGTGCTTAAAATATCAAGTTTTTGTGCTAATGTGAGATGTATACCTAGTGTAGCTTTAGGTTTCCAGGTAAAGCACGATATTACTGTCTTACTGAAGTAGTTCAGATAATTGACTGTGAACCCACTATTTCCTAAGAATGTGTCGATTAATGTAGACTGACGTTGTTCTAATTACTTTGTTTAATAATAACGAATGTGGGATGGCACACAGACTTTATAATCATTGTGAAATTGCTGTTTATTTTGCTGCACCGGCAGCTATAGGGTTAATGCGGGAGAGACGAGTGAGTTAGTTAGGCTGGTGCGCCTGTGAGCTGTTCAGCGTTCTGATTAAAAGTTAAAACAGAGCGTCTTTTGTCTGCCGTTCTTCAAACATTACAGTAGACATATTTTGGTTTACAAACTGTATTGTTTCATCAGTTAGTCACGTTAGCACTCGGCTAACGTATCCACCATTATTGTTTTAAGTGTTTGTATTTTATGTCATTATTATAAGAACGGATTGGAGCACTATATTATTGTTCTATGTAAAGGTGCTTTGTCAATGGTAGCGCTCGCTAACTTGCTCAAGGACTTCAATCACAACAGGCTTGGCCAGCTGACCATTCAGAGCAGAGTAGGCTTATGGAAGGGAGGGGTTTGCTCCGAACTTGCTTGGAACGAATCATTTCGAAATCATTGGCAAATGACTCTAATATTAAATGTATATTCTGAGAAAATTACAAAGTTTTATGACCTTAGACGCATTTAAACCTGTTGTAGGTGTCTCCGACACAATATTAGGATACTTTAAAATACCATATGACCTGCTCTTTAAGACTCTGTGTACCATTGGGATCTGTACAGAGGTTCCTTTGATTTGCACTAAACTGACAGAGAGAGAGAGAGAGAGAGAGATCGAGCGAGCATGCGCGATTACCTGCGTCTGTCCTTCTTCATACATTCATGAAAAAAAGCCATCAGCTATCAGAAGATGAAAGCGATATCTTTATAATAGCATCTTTTCGGCGTTTAAGGGGATTTCCCATGACTGGCATCAGCGCTGTTCAATTTACTCAATGGTATTAATCTCCCTGAAGTGAAACATCAGCTTTAGCATTACCCAGATAACGCGTTGATCGTCGATTGAGCCTTGTAAAGTGGCGCTCAAAGTTAAATTAATTTCAACACCTTGTTTCAATTATGAATGAAACGTATTAGTTGACTCACTCGTAAAGACAGTCCCTTGCCTCCACCTCTTGGCATAACAATGTATCTGCACTGACTGACAGCCTGTGTAAAATGAGCGCAGAGTCAAGTCCCTGTACTCATACAATTGAATTGTCAACAGCGGTGTTTGAAAGCCACTTTTCCAGTCAAATTCCAGCATCAGAACTTACTATTATACGTATATTAACATACCAATGAGCTTAAATAAATAAATGGCGATAATATTGCATACTCAAAATCACTGCAAAGGGAAATTTCTTCCCCGCGACAGCCCTAGTATCGCAATGTCCAAGTCTCAAAAGACCACATTATTTAAATCCAGTTCTTCAAATGCCATTCACACAAGGTGTGAGACAAAGTGCAACGTAATGAAACAATGCTGAAATTCAAAGACAAACTCCTTTTAATTTGACAGCATCTTATAAAAGCAAAACCACAAAATCACTATTTTAATATTGTGTAATAATGTTTCTGCTAAATACTGTACTTGAAAATAAGGCACTGTTTGTTTTATTTGTATATTATGTGTATTTGTAATGTATATCTTTTGTTCTTATTTTCTAATAACAAAGATAAAATAATGACAAAGATTTTGGCCTAAATGTCTGCCATTCTTTTTTATTTTATATTTTGTTACGTCTGATGAAGAGCCTGCATGCTGGAAACATCACACACGCTATGAGACAGTTTTTTAAATACATTTTTGATACTTTTGGAGCTTTGGTGTTGCCGACTTTACATTTAAAAAAATTTTCCACTTGTTTCTTAATCGAGCACCCAGTTGAGATCGATGTGAGTGCTTCTGCCTACTCTTTGATATTTTGTTAGCTTGAAAGGCTTTTTTTTTTTACAATAGGCAAATTAGTTTGGCTGTACTGCTCAGGCAATTTGCAAAATAGTAAAACCAACATGACAAAGAATCGTGATAAAATCGTGAATCGTGATTAGGGATGCGCCGATCCGATATTCATATCGGGTATCTGTCAGAGAGGGCCGATCCAAATCCGAGATTTATTTATTTATTTTTCTCGATTGTGCGAATTCTTCTGTGTTACTTCTGAAGCCATATGATAGCGTAATGTCAGCTACATATGAATGTTTATGTCCTTACATTAAAGTTCACACAAACTCTTTTCTCCGATGTGGCTGTCAGTCATTCGTTCAG